AACAATTCTTTTCATGATATCAGTCATACACGGTTTGAATTCATTACTAAATGGAACACAAAAATAAGGAAGAAAAAATCTTCTAAATCATCACTATTTTGAACGTCCTAGTATATCAAAATAAATTTCAAACATTGGCTTCAAGTCTTTTTCTTCCTCTTTGTTCTGATAGCAGTTGGGACACCATAACACACAAGGGAAGCCCCTGTCAAGAACTTCTGAGTGCAGGCATTACGTGCATCAGCCATGAGCAAACCAATTCTCTCTGGTTTAACATCATCACTCCTCTCTCTCCAGCAACTTTCCAACATTGCTTTCACAAACTTGGTAATATCAAATGTTATCTCCCACAAGGTTGCCACAATGACAGGGGAACCGGCTAGCAGGAAACATAACCAAGGCCTTTTTGGTACATATCTGCCTCCTTTATATGACAAACCACTGTTGCATCCCATAAGAAAAGCTGCAGAACATTTGTTGCCCATATTTGCTACTTTCTCCATGGGAATATGTTGTTCTCCTGCACCACCAAAAAAAAAAAAATTTGCATGGCTGGAATCAGTAATTTGAACTTTTTCCTTATAGATATGTAGGGGAAAGGACCACCATACCAGCACCATGCCCAAAATATAGTAAAAGATCATGATTTTCCAACGCATCCTTTAGCTCCTTATCAAGTGGCTTTGATCCAGCTCCAGCTTTTCCCTGTATAAAGCAAATAAGATCAGTAACAACAAAGGCCAAGGCAGAAGAATTATATCAATTTGTTTTAATATATGTGTTACCTCGATTCCCTCAGTCTCGAACAATCCTTCAAGCGCGGTTTGCAGTTCTTGGCATTTACCATCAAGATTTAATAGATAATAAGAATTTCTAGGATCAATCACAGGGAAGGGAGAAGGATCTTCTCGGTAACAGCTTTTCTTAAGCACTGCTGATATACTACCCACAGAAGGCATGCGGTATACTTCTCGTTTCCTCAATATTGGAATATTCTCCCATGGAAGCATCTATTATTATACAGAATAACGACACATAAGTGTTACAACATGTAATCACTGAGCAAGATTATAATACTCTCCTTTAATCTTTAAATTCAGTGAGCAAGATTTATATCTTTAATATGTTGTATGTAACAAGCAAACTCTATTCTTTCAATGCACATTCAGAAAAAGTGAAAAAAAAAGAGAGAAGAAGATGAGATTTACCACCAACCTGAATCTCACGATCCACCACAAGAATGATCGGTTCTCTTTCTTCGTTACAATGCTCTAGCTTCATTCCTGATTCCTGTATCAGTTTTAGGGCTGTCTGGTACCTACTTTGAAGGTCGTTATAAGATACACTGGTTCCATTTTCTTCTTCATCAATATAGTCACTTGGACGACCTCCTACGTAGCAACCATTCTTTGAACAAAGCTGAGATATCCACATCCATGAATCAACGTCTGTGTCATTTCCAAGGAAAACCTTTAGAAGTGTCTCATTTACTTCCATCTTACATTTGGACCTGAGCTCCTTAACCAGCTTCTTTTGCCTTGTCTCATGCAATTTACTGTTTGAATATTCTCCCAAAAGCAGATGCTTCCAGGGACCCAACCACAACTCTTCAAGGTTTCTGTATATAATAATAATAATACAACAAGCTTCTTTTTAAAAATAGAAATAATATGCTATTATGCAAATATAAGTAAGTGTGTTCACTATATGCATCACCTCCTCATGCATGGAATGTGTACCTTGGCAATTTAGCAAATAGAAGTTCAAGTTCCTCACTCGTCAGCCTCATCTTCTTAGGATCCTCATAACCAATAAGGTAGTTCTCCAATATTAATCTAAACGATGGGGCGACAACATCCACCACTGTGGAACCCCATGGAAACTTCCATCGTTTACCCATCTTTCGAATCCCACCTGCTTTGGTGGTATTGGTAAGATTATTATTGCTCTCCAGTAACAATGACAGAAAGGAAACCCCACTTGGCAATTAGTAGAAATTACCTTCTTCAAGTGGAGAATAAATTGGCACAAGTAGAGCTAAAGGCTGCTGACTCTTTGAGCTCAACCGTGACAAGAGCAGCCACCCACAAACATGGGGGCCTTTCATCAACTCATGCAACAATTTACACAGTGTGCCTCCAAGCACGCTAATGCAGATGGCTGTCGTTTCTGGTAGACCATTGAAAAAGTTTTTTGCAAACTTAACAAGACCTTCGGTGCTTTTGGGAGCAAGCCTGCAGTGTCAGGTAAAAGACAATGGACTCAGCAAGCAAAAAAAAAAAACAAATAAATCAAACTTTAATCCATTTTTTTCTAGCTTTAAGACCTGAGGAAGTCGAATTCTTCAGAAGCCTGTAGATCAGAATGATTTCGGTCAGTGCAACTTATCATTTTTTTTTTTTTTTTTTTTGAAACACACTTATATTAATTCAATCAAGCCAGGGTAGGTGCAGCCATTAAGGCTAGTTCAGCAGACAAAACCTGCTTTGCTAACAAATCTGCTTCTACATTTCTCACTCGTGAGATCCAAATAAAAGAAATACATTCAAAAGATGAAACTAAGTGCTGGATATCCGCCAAGATCCCATA